TGTCAAATTTCAAGCCAAATAGCCTAATCCATTAAGTAGCTTTTAATTCCTCCAAAATGAAGCGATCCAAACGCCCCCTTATAGTTTCGATCTATTATATCGATTACTTGTCAAAGCGTGCAAGCAACAACGTTTGCATATCATCGATCGCTCTCTGCCACAGTACACGCATAAGTGTCAGTTAGTAGTCAAATTATGTAGTACAACCTTATGTACCACTTCAATAATGCAACTTCATCAGTGCAATTTGTTGCCACTCTCCGTATCTCCATCGCTCCATCTACATCATCCTCTTTGTCTGACGACCTTGCATCATCTTATAGGACAGACAATTGGTCGTTGTCTACTGGGGAGTCCACATCGTCTATCAATCTCGACGTTGGTGCTTCAATTGCAGAATATTTATATATACATTTAGGTTTATTTATATCATTTGCGCGTCAAGCAGTCTCCTCTAGATTTTGGCCATACATGTGCTGCTACCCTTGCTTGACTTCACACCAGCTGCTAGGGCAGAATATTGACTGGCGAATCATGCATGCAAATAAACTACTGCTTGCTTACTGGATCATAGATATGTGTAGACTACGTATGGTCAATTTCTTTCCATGCAGTACAACCAATATGGCTTATTTTACTGGTTTCCAACTACCCCGGCCAAAGTATAGCAGGCCAGGTTCATCTTTGATACTGCCAAAGAAATTGCCAGTATTATTCTTTTGGAACTACTACTACCACCTAGTGTATGAAATAAGGAGGCTAGTCTACATTTACTAACCACAAAATGTCGATCAAGTATTCATCGAAGTATGAAATCAGACTGACATCAGGAATTCCTCACACCACAAAAGCAATAACAGATGCATATAAAGGCATGAATACAAGTTAGCTGAATCCATTCTAATAAACAATATATACCCATTGTTTAGAGTTGGAGTAAACTAACAATTATCTAAAGGGGCTACCAGTTTAGCTGCCAAATAAATATCCTGACACAGGCAGTGTTGTTAATCTATCAAATGGCCAGTAATTTTCACTAAAAGTCCATTATTTGTGTCGGCCTGGGGCTAAAACCAAGGAAATACTGACAACAAACGTGTCCTTTGATTGCCTGTTGCCATTGTGAACACTCAACAAGAGCACGCTCATCAAAAGTGAACAGTGATGAACAAGACATGTCAACAAAGCTGGACGTACCAACTAGCCAATTTGCTTACAGATGTATACTAGTAGGTCAAGGAAACATGATAAGCTGATGTCACTTTGCCCGTCATTATGATCTTAATTATCTGCACAAGTAACTCATAAATAGAATAAAATAAGATAACAGATTACATGTACAACTTGTACAGTTGTACTTGATTACTAGGACACCTCGACCCGGGAAGACGGCTAAGGCCCACTCTACATGTTGAATGGGCCACACCTACGAATAACTCTCTTGCGTTTTCGTTCCCGCTTCACGCAAAAAGGGTGATCACCAGAGTTATTCACCTCCCAGGCCCAGGATTTTAAGCTGGTCTAGCTCTAGTTCCATTTACGGTATTGGACTAAACTAGGAACACTGTAATTTTCACTAAAAGTCCATTGTTTGTGTCGGCCTGGGGCTAAAACCAAGGAAATACTGACAACAAACGTGTCCTTTGATTGCCTGTTGCCATTGTGAACACTCAACAAGAGCACGCTCATCAAAAGTGGACAGTGATGAACAAGACATGTCAAGAAAGCTGGACGTACCAACTAGCCAATTTGCTTACAGATGTATACTAGTAGGTCAAGGAAACATGATAAGCTGATGTCACTTTGCCCGTCATTATGATCTTAATTATCTGCACAAGTAACTCATAAATAGAATAAAATAAGTTGCTTGACGGTGTAAGATAACAGATTACATGTACAACTTGTACAGTTAGTACTCGATTACTGTAACGCCTCGACCCGGGAAGACGGCTAAGGCCCACTCTACATGTTGAATGGGCCACACCTACGAATAACTCTCTTGCGTTTTCGTTCCCGCTTCACGCAAAAAGGGTGATCACCAGAGTTATTCACCTCCCAGGCTCAGGATTTTAAGCTGGTCTAGCTCTAGGTCCATTTACGGTATTGGACTAAACTAGGAACACTGTAATTTTCACTAAAAGTCCATTATTTGTGTCGGCCTGGGGCTAAAACCAAGGAAATACTGACAACAAACGTGTCCTTTGATTGCCTGTTGCCATTGTGAACACTCAACAAGAGCACGCTCATCAAAAGTGGACAGTGATGAACAAGACATGTCAAGAAAGCTGGACGTACCAACTAGCCAATTTGCTTACAGATGTATACTAGTAGGTCAAGGAAACATGATAAGCTGATGTCACTTTGCCCGTCATTATGATCTTAATTATCTGCACAAGTAACTCATAAATAGAATAAAATAAGTTGCTTGACGGTGTAAGATAACAGATTATGTACAACTTGTACAGTTGTACTCGATTACTGTATCGCCTCAACCCGGGAAGACGGTTAAGGCCCACTCTATATGTTGAATGGGCCACACCTACGAATAACTCTCTTGTGTTTTCGTTCCCGCTTCACACAAAAAGGGTGATCACCAGAGTTATTCACCTCCCAGGCCCAGGATTTTAAGCTAGTCTAGCTCTAGTTCCATTTATGGTATTGGACTAAACTAGGAACACTGTGACAAGCTACAGTGTCCTGATGCTACAGTGCCATGGATTTGGTGTGGCCCAACTGCCCCATGGGCTAGGGGTTCACAATTACCTTCAATATGTGAGCTCTGGACAAAACTGGAGGCAAGTGAAAACCAAATGTTACTATGTACTGTTGTAGTTTGTCCTCTATGTACTCTCTCCGTCCACGAAAGAATACAATTCTCACATCTCGAGAAGTCAAACAGTTTCTACTTTGACTAAAATTATATGAACATGTACTAACACTCATGAGACCAAATAAGTATCATTAGATTAGTTATCGAATATATTTTCATAATAAATTTATTTTGAGACATAAATGCTAATACTATTTACTACAAACTTGGTTAAAGTTAGGCTACTTTAACTGGCACGTTTCCTATAATTATTAATTTTTTGGACGGAGGGAGTATCTGTTTGTCACACACACATCTTAGTTTTTTTCCCTAGTAACATGCATGAACTCATGGTCATGCCAATAGCAACTAACAAGTGAACTAACCAGCTTCCCCGACAAGCTGTTGTTATGACCACACGCACTATCGTCGACAATGTTAGCAGGTAGCATATGCACTAAAGTTTACAGCTAGGAAGTCTGGACCTCAAAGTCTTGTATGCAATTGTACCATTTGGCTTTCACCCAAAGGATTCACACAAGCCACAGCAATTTTGCTTCAAATAAATGGCAGAGTTATCTATTAATAAAAGCACAGATCGATCTAGCTTTGATGAATTTTATTAGCATATGAATGGTGATGCAACCCACACATATATATACGTATAATAAATAACTAATAAACACTAACTATAAAAGAGAACCTGACATCACTTGGTCAACTAGCTAAACCACATATTATATATAGGGCCAGCAATTTCTCGGCCAAACATCGATCTCTGGGATATGATGTGCTACATATGTAACGCGGTTTCATACTACGACCCTACTACTTTTCCCTACGTACACACTGTGCGTGCTGATGGGTTCATACCACACACGCATGCGATGCGCCCACTGTCTGCCAGAAGCCATGATGCATTCTATGACACGCGGTTCATACATCATTAGGGGGGACCTGATCCTGTAATTAACGATACTAATTATCATTCAAACAAGCAAGCACACCATACCACACAATAATCTAGATGATTAGCTAGTAGCTAGTTTGATCGTGTATATGCAGCAGTATAGCTTCTGCTGGACACCTCTGAATTTTTGCAAGATTATGCATATGCAACAGGAAGGCCGCACCGCAGGGCATCGATACCCTCCCTGTATGATAAGCAAAGCAAATCAGAGCCTCCTGCACCCTCTATCAGCAACCATGTGCTTCCAGTATCCACCATGCATCCTCTCCTCTCTTTCCTGATCATCCTAGCCGGCCAGTACTCCAGTCCTACAACTTTTCAGATGCAAATCTCTTTTCGCTAGTGAGATGCATATATATCTTTACCCATGCAACTGAAAAGAGAGGGAAACCAAGAAAGATCTTGCGGCTACTAGGCCGCGTCGCGCAAAAGCTACGCAAGCCCTGCAGAGACATATCATCACTGAGGCACACACCCGTTTTCGAGTGGAAAGCACCGACCATGGTGCGGGAGGCCCTACAGATCATCTTGGAAAGACTAAAGACGAGCCAGGGAGGAGGGAGATCTATGGAGAAGTACCAAGGAGAAGCTAGCATGCATCCATGCACTTGTAAAGCCAGAAAACTCAAAGCCGATCCTGAAGCTGATGATGAGACTAGCTAAGCTAGTTAGTACCAGAGGTGGTATCAGTTATCATCATTAGGGTGCGTGGCTAACAAACAAAGATGAGATTGCATGAGCTGCAATAAATCATAAACCCTTTTCACCACCTGATGAGCATGAGCATGCATACACCTCATTATATTACTAACCTGCTCTCACTAGCTGCCTAGCAGAGAAACCCCAATCAACAAAGATCATGGAAGGATGGATCGAGTGATCGACGACCATCTAAATAAAGTAGAGTAGCTAGCTATCCGGCCGATGCGTGCGCTTCGCGGTGAAACATCGTTGCTCCTGAGCAAGAATAATCCAACAAAGAAGCAGTGTTGTGTGCATCAGAAGATTTTCGATCGATCAATGCATGGAGGTTTATGCAGCTAGCTTAAGTTAAGTTGTGCACTACGGTACGGATGAAGAAGACATGACGATGAGCGAGTCGGGCGTGCGAAGGTTATGTGGCTCGTACCGGTGGGCAAGGGGTTTTGGATGGACGAGCGAGGTCGCGTCGCACGCAATCGAGGGCTGATCGATCGATGGATGCATGACGACGACGACTCATCACGAGTCGCCGCCGCCGAGCTTGGCGAGCAGCGCTGCGACCAGCTGGTGGCGCCTCTCCTCGCGCTCCTCGGCGCGCGCGCGCCAGGCGTCCTCGCGCTCCCGCCACCGGCGCACGAGCGCGAGGCGCTCCTCGCAGAGCGCGACCATGGCGGCGCGCCACTCCTCCTCGCGCGCGCGGCGCTCGGCCTCGCGCGCCTCGGCGGCCTCCACCCAGCGCTCCTCAATCTCGGCCTGGCGGCGCATGAACTCCCGCAGCATGGCCTCCACCTCGCCCTGATCCGCGGCCGCCCTACTAGCAGCCCGCGCCGCCTGCTGCTTCCGCCTTCGCTTCTTCGTCCCAGCGCCGCCGCCGCCGGCCCTGCTCGCGTCCGCCGCCAGCTCCTCGTCGCCCACCGCGGCGTCCGCCTCGGTCTCTTCGTCTTCCTCGTACTCGTCGACTTCCTCCCCCTCGCCGGCGCCTTCGTCGTCCCGCACGCCCTTGCCCTTGTCCCTCTTCCTCTCCAATGCTTGCGCGCGCTCGGCCCTGTCGTCGAAGATCCGCCTCACCTCGTCGTGGAACGGGAACTGCGGCCTCGGCTGCTGCTGCTGCTGCTGCGACTGACCGGCGAAGGCCGGGTCGACGACGGCCGCCGCTGCCGCTGCCGCGGCGGCCTCGGTGCCCTTGAACCTGGTGACGAGGTTCTTCCACTTGGACTTGCACTGGTCCGGGGTGCGCGCGAAGCCCTGCGCGTGGAGGCGCGCGGAGACGGCCTCCCAGAGCGCCTTGTTGCGCTTAGTGGTGAGGAAGGAGTCGTCGAGGTCGGCGCGGACGGCGAGGAACGCGGCCGTCTCGGCGTGGGACCACTGCGGCAGGCGCTCCCGCTCGAGGCTGGAGGCGGCCGAGGCTGAGGGCAGCTGCGGCGGCTCGGGGAGCGGAGGCGGCGGCGGCGGCGGCGGGAGCGGTGGGAAGTGCGGGTGGGGCGGCGGCGACGGGGAGAGCAGCGGGTGGTACGGGTTGGAGAAGGAGGTGTTGAGGTGGTGGAAGGGATCCATGGCGCGGCGGAGGCGGTGGTGGATGGGAGTGGGACGGCGAGGTGGGGTGGGGATAGGGATGGATGGATTTGGACGCCGGGGAAAGGAAGGGAAGGGAAGGGATGATGTGATGGAGAGCGGGCGGTCAGGTCAGTGGTGGGAATTGGGATGGAATGGAAGTCAAGAGCAGCGAGTTTGTTGTTTCCCGGCCGGACCCGAGACCAAAGAGAGAGAAGAAAATCTGTTGTTGGCCTGGCCTGCTGCTGGGTTTCAACGCCGAAACGGCTTGCTTTCATATTGCTTTCTTCGCAAGATCTGGATCCTCCGCGCCCGGCTTCATTCATGCTTCCCGGGGTGGTGAGGCTCCATTTCTATCTCCTGACTTTAATTGCCAATGTGCTGCTACGTGGCACACGACTAATCAATTCCTAGTACTCCTTATAAATTATAAATCATTTAAGAATCTTGGAGAGTCAAAACATCTTTAATTTGACCAAAGTTATAGAGAGGATTATAAAGATTTTTACATCAAATAGGTATACTATGAAAATATAATTGATGAATAATCTAATGATACTTAGTTGGCATCATAAATGTTATTATCTTATCATATAAATTTGGTCAAACTTAAGACGGTTTGACTCTCCAAGATTCTTGGAATGACTTATAATTTGGGATAGAGGGACTACATTACACGTAATCCTAAGTGTGCACCTCACTTTCCTATGAGTCAAAGTTTTTGAAAAGTTTAGCTAAATATAGAACAAAATATACTGATATTTATGATGCGCGATGAATATGAGTAGATTAATCATGGTCCATATTTTTTTAGTAACTTATTTGGAAATATCCATGTTATCCCCACTGTGATCGTTTATAAGGCGCAACTTGACATGACACCTATAAACCTAGGATAATTGGATACTACGGTTAGTTACGAATTTGATTGTATCAAGTTTGTATAATAAATTTATAATAATAGAAAAATGTTAGGCAAATTCTTGGCCAAAGATTTTAAAGTTTGGATCTTGATATGCATGTGCTAAAAGAGAATGCAGGGTGTAATATATTATTTTTTTATAAATTTAGTTAAATTTAGAAAAGTAGACTTCTCGAGAAGTTAGAGGTACAATTATTGTTTGAAGTTTAACTAAATTTATATAAACTTAGTCAAAGTTATGAAAATTTGACCGACACAAATCCTATAACGTCATTTTTTTGGGACAGAGAGAGCACATATCTAGTAGAAATAAACTGATGAATGGCTCTCAACGTCATATCTAGACTTGGCTTATTATTAATAGCTTGCTGCCATCGAGCTAGGAACCGAGAAAGGCGAGAATTGTATGTCGCCATTGCTGATACACCAATACACGAGTGCAATGTTGATAATACCAACATGCATAGTGCAAATTTCATCCGCATTTAATAAGCTATCATGTAGGCATTTTTTTATGACGTGGCACCATATTTAAGAAGAAGCGAGAAGAAATAAGTTTTATGGAGATGAAACTCTCTGGCATAGTTACCAACTCGTAATGAGTCATGAAGTTAAATATATATGAAACTATAGAATAAAACTATGCATTTAGAGTGATGGTTTCATTCAAATTTCATTGCATTCTATTTGATATGGCATTCTTGAAAAACAACGCAATGGAACTCTTCACTGAGACGGACTATCTTGTCTCGCTTGCGTCTCCCGGCATAATAATTAATGCTAAATACTATAGCTAATCTCATATCGATTACATGAGTTTGTTGGAGTGGTGGACTAGAACAAAACGCTAAAGCTGCAAAAAGAAGAGAGTACTACAAAGGTCAACTAGCGATGAGACTGGAAAATGAACCCCAACTATACATAACCTTTTCGGGTGTATGAATGGCATCGACTTAAACACATTTGCAAAAAGAAGGAAGCGTTTGGGTTGATAAGTCTGTCAGTTGAATCACATTTATAAGGTTGAGAAAATGGAGCGAACCAACAAGGTCAAATGAATACTATGAGCAATGGGCGTTGGTCGATTGAGCGATTTTGCAAAAAATTTATTCATTCCAAAACTGTCCGTCAATCACATTTATAAGGTTGGACCGTTGGAGCGAACCAAGTTCCAAATGAATACTACGAGCCTGTGTTTAGTTGCCAGGCCAAATTCCAAAAAAGTGCTACAGTATCCATTACATCGAATCTTGCAATACGTGTATGGAGCATTAAATGTAGATGAAAAAAAACTAATTGCACGGTTTGGTTGGAAAGAAAGCAAACGAACGTTTTGAGCCTAATACCCATGATTTTTTTAATTCGAAAATAAAACAAAATTTCAACGTAGTATTTCAATCCTCAAAATTCCCGTGACACTAAATCACCACCAATGGACTGACATCGATTTGGATTTGGCACCAATTAATTTATTCATTCCATGTGTCTTTCGTTGTCTTGTAGTTTAGGAGTGTTAATGCTAGCTCAACCCGTTCTTATGAAACTTCATACAAAATTTCAACGTAGTATTTCAATCCTCGAAACTAAACGTGACACAATCGTAAGTGTCTTCAATAAGTACATCGATTTTGGATTTGGAGCACCACTTTAGTTAATTAAGAAAAATCTAATTAGCGTAAAATGCAGACACACACACACAAAGAAGCTTCAGTAAACAAGAGGTCGTTAAAGGTTAACGTTGCCATTACTGCAGCCATGCATGAGCCCGGCGTCGGGGGGCGCCGCCGCCGCAATGTGGCGCGAGACGGCGGCGTTCACAAAGGATCCGAGAGGTCATGCAGCATGCCTACGGTGGGCCCGCGGGGCCCGGGCCGGCCCCTGCGTGGAGTGGCGGGTGGCGTCAGGCGGACGACAGCGCGTCGTCAGACAGCAAAGGCCATTGCATTGGATGCCCACGCGACTCTTCCTTTGCTGCGAAGCATCTCTCCTTCTCTCTCCACCGGCTGCGGCATGCGGCATGCGGCATGCAGGAGGAGCAGGTCGTGAGCTCGCGTCCGCGTCGTCCAGGTGGCGGCCCCCGACGGGGACGTGTCATGGGCATGGCCTTGACCTGCGCGGCAAGTAATCACAGCTAGCCGGCCAGCAGGGAGCAGGCGGACAGCCAGGAGCCAGCCAGCAGCCTGTACGCTCGTCGTATTTAATTTAATAGTAGTTTTCTTTCACGATAAACCAGCCAACAGTCAACCATAACTTACCTCGTAAGCCAAACCAACCCGACGGAGAGCGCCGCGAGTCCGCGACCCATGACCCGTGAAAGATGATTGGTGGTTGCCTGCTGGGCCCTGGGCGGAGTACGACGGCGGCCGGGCGGGGACGTGACTCGTTCATTCACGCGTTGCAATCTACTGTACGATGTGGTACAACTTTTAATTTTGTCTATGGCCGCGTTTGCTGGGCCCTGGGCGGAGTACGACTTTCGCCGATAAAATTATCCGGGCGGGGACGTAAAAGACTCGTTCATTCACGTAATTCCATTTTGCAATCTACATTTAGTACGATTTGTACGATGTGGTACAACTTGAAATTTTTGATTTTTTTGTCTATGTATATGTACGGCGCGCGCGCCTGTCTGGATCGGACCGTATGTTTGGAGACGTGTACGACCGCCTGTGTGTTCTCGAGTCCTACCAACCGGATGTGAGCGAGCGCGGAAAAGGTTTTTTTTTACGAAATTCTTTTCTAGTCACGCTATAAATCGTCACACTATAAAAGATCGATTTTTTTGAGGTGGGCTCTCCCTCTATAATAAAAGTTCGATCTATACGTCATGCTATATGAGTCCTCCGTCATGCACGATCTTACTCTTTCTCTATAACAACCATTCGATCTACAAGTCATGCTATACGAGCCAGATCTTACATATAAGATGTAAACCAAGATTCAATCTTAGGTGGGTTACAATCCCACCCACGTACGTCTGCAATCATACCCGTTTTTGCATCAACGTCATCACGTTCTACGCACCGGTGCTCTTCAAGACCGTCGGGTTCAATCAGAACGCCACCCTCGTCTCCTCCGTCATCACCGGCCTCGTCAACGTCTTCTCCGTCATCACGCAGATGATCATATCCCAGGTAATCAAATATATATGGCCGCCATTAATTAGCCTCCATGCATGATCGATCGAGCATCCATGCATGCATGATTCTTCTTGACGACCGGGCTCTGGCAGATCCTTGTGGGGACGTTCATCGGGCTGCATGCAGTTCGGCATGAGCGGGACGGGCGACATCTTGGAGCACTACGCCATGTGCATCGTGCTGTTCGTGTGCGTGTACTACGTGGCCGGCTTCGCGTGGTCGTGGGGGCCGGGTGGCTGATCCCCAGCGTGATCTACCCGCTGACCGTGCGGAATGCGGCGATGAGCATCACGGTTCATTGCGACCATTTGGCCATTCGACGACTACTGCTTGCCGTCGTCTGTCGAGCCTCAAGGGTCTTCGCCGCCCGTGCATATCCAAGATGAGAGGAAGGACCACAAAGCTGAAATGTTGCCGCGTCGCCGATACTCGAGAATTCACCGCCGACTTCTTGTGCTGCTCCGTGCGTTGAGGCGAGGTGCTGGCCAGCCACCTGAACCACGTACGCACATGCTTTGCTTAATTGGTGTCACTCACTAGCTTGTCGGTAGACTCATCAGAGGTAAGGACCATCCCTCACATTCTTCAGTCGGTCCTGGAACAAAGCTCCAGTGCTAACCTTTCTCTGTCTTCTGGCTGGCCCATCTCGGTAGTGACCAACAAAGCCCAAGATCACCTCAAAAGAAAATAAGCAAAGCCCAAGATGACCTTGCAAGATAGAGACGTTGCAGCAGCATGTCAGCAGGCCCGTGCGACCGCACAGGGCCCCAATATCTTGCGTACAGCCCAGTAGCATGTCAGCAAGCCTGATCGTGATTGGTTGCGGACTTGCGGCAAATTAGCAAGGTAATTTTCTCTCTCTTTTTATTTATTTTCTAAAATTGTACTGTACTAATTATTAAATCACTGCACGTGTATTGTGTCTAAATTTTGTTCTTTTC